TGCCCTAAGCCAGCTGTGTGTCATGTAGTTACACATTTTAAGATGCTTTAATGCCAGCTGATGACCCTGCAGGATTTCTAGCGGTGAGTTCAAACTTCCAATGGAGGACTTTTTGTAATCTTTTGGTATTTACTCTGATTTGAGTGTCTGAGTTTCTCGAAAAGGACTCTGTAGCCTCTGACAGTGAAGTGCATTCAGTCATATCACTGTTATAAATGCTCATAATGTTTAAGTCTTACTTCTTATTGGAGAAAGACAGCCATGAGGTCACTGCAGCTGTAAAACATTTGTCCAAACTCAAACCTCTGTGGCATATTTTACAAAAATGTTTAGAGTTGGTGGCTTTCTAGCTAATAGTTAATAAATCATTAAGTTACTCTTATAGATTTATTATAAACCATAAATAATAACGTTTGGGTGTTAGGGCTGTAGAAGCTTCTTCAGGCTGGTTATAAGAACTGAGTGGATATTTTTTAGAAACTCCCTGCAGATGGTACGGACACAACATCCATTTAGTAACAACTTGTTAGCGTGTATAACTGTAGACCTGCCATCAGAACCCATTTAATAATAACTCATTAACATTTATATCTCCAGACCTGATTTATCAAACACTTTATTATTTGCACATTTCCATCTATAGTCACATTTCTGGCAGTTAAACACATTTATTAACGAGTAAAGAAACCTTTATAACTCCAGGTGTTGTAGTCAATGCTCCTTATTAACTTATATAATCACAAATACATTTAAAAATTGCGTTCTTAGTGATTTACCTCCTTTTTTAATGACTTATTACTTAGCAATGTTACTTTGAAACATGAATAAGTGCAGATTTGGTCACTTGGTGATCTGAGCGGGTTATCAAAACACCATAACAATGATTTATTCACATCCATGACTGCATGTGTTTGCTTTAAATGAATCTTAATAACCTTTTTATGTTTATAACTGGATACCTGGTGTAATAAACCCCTAAGTGTTTGCATAGTTCCATTTATAATCACATTCTTTGAGGTTTAACACCTTTATTAATGACACATAAACACTTATAACTGCAGGTATTGTGGTTAATGCTCCTTACTAATGACATTGTTGTTACTTTACTCCTTTTAAAAAACGTATTAATGTGTATACCTGCAGATTTTTTAACTAAAAGTGTTTTAATAATGTAGTAACATAAACTGTTGTTATGTCCAACTTTCTTCTAACGATAGCGTTCATCATTTAAAAGCTCAAACTTCTGTCTAATTTATATATATATCCTCAGAACGGGTTATTATGAGTCCATATTAATGACTTATTAACTTTTATATCTGTTTTTAATGACTCGGTTGAGTGTGTAACGTGTTGTATCATACCGCTTGTCTCAATATTCTTATTATTGCAATTTTTATTATTTTTAAAAAATTGAAAACATCTTAATCATGACTTAATAACAGCTGCTGGTATTTGCATTCAGCAAATTCTAATAACCTTTTTTGAAACTGGAAAGCTGAGACATTAAACCCCTTATTAATTTCTCATTTGCATTTATTATTCAATTCTTGGAAATTAACCTACCCCATCAACGAGAAACAGTTACAGCTTCAGATTTTCATACAGTAATAACTTATTGGCATTAATAGCAATAAACTTTATTTTCAAACTTTATATTAAAAACTATTCTCATCTATAAATGAATTTATAAGTTCAGAACTAAAGACTTATTTTTGTGCATAAATTCCAGCAACATGTGTTGACCTTTATAAATCTAAAAACACGTTGATGTTGTTGTTGTTTTTAAAATAATAATAATAATAATAATAATGACATATCTGTCTGTCAAGCTGAATGACTTGTTGATAATTAAGTCTTTATCAGTAAGTCAGTAACATTAATAATTGCAGACTGCATGTATTACATTTCTTGTAATAGAAGACCTTGTGGTTTAAACACTTCCAGTATTACATATAACTAAATATTTTATAAATGAAGCCTTTTATCAATAGCTTGTTAACCAAATTTTCATCTTTATCTAATTAACCTGCAATTAATTGTACAGTAAGTTTTTTTTTTTTATTGGAACCTTTTATTAATAAGTTACTTATATTAAAAACTGCAGACTGCATGTATTAATCCTCTTTATTTGTGACTTATTAACATTTAACATGCTGCTCCATGTCTTAAACCTTTGATGAATTACTTGTTAATGACTTATTAAAATCTATAAAGTATTTAATGTGGCTTTAATAGCCTGTTACATACATGACATACATGGATTTCCAGCATGAGATGGGGATAAACATCATAAACCCAGGGGATTTTTCACAATCTGGCCTTTTTTTCTTATTGATGACTTAAACAGGTCAATAATATTTATTAATCACTAATGAAGCCTTTAGTATAACTTATGAAGGTTTTTTTTTAATTAAAAATTGCTGAATATCCAGAAATATCCAGTGTCACGGTTCACGAAGTGAAAAGATCATGTTTAGATCTGATTCTTAAATTAGCTGACTTCATTCTTCCAGGCTTTTGTCCAAACGCCCGCAGAGACGGAGGATCTGTCACCTATATCCACCCTGTAGATCCGAATTTGTGTAAATACAGCAGCAGCCACAAATTCGCATCTTGGGGAGTATGTAGATGATGACACATCACCTAGAAGGGAAGAAAAACATTCGTCTAGAAGACAAGAAAATTCCTTTCTGTTTGTGTATCAGTGCAACATGAGCGCTACATTTGATATTTCGTGCTGGTGTGTGTGATTTTTTTCTTTAGAGCTGCAGGCCTTCTGCACAGTTTGGCTGGCTGTTTTCTCTCCTCTTTCCTCCCTTTTAGCGCCTCATTGTTGGGGAGGGTGGAGGGTAAAGAATATGACATCTGGGAAAGTTGCCGGACGAGCCTTGAATGTGGGCATTGTTCCGCACATCATTTGTCACGTCTCCTTTTCACTGCCACTGTCCGTATAGTCGAGGAGGAGTTGTAGTTTGCAGCCAGGGGGAAATGTGAGGAGGAGGACCTCAAACAAACATTTCCAACGGACCTGACTGGATGGAGAACCCGGCCTGGTGAGGAAAAGCATGAGGCTCCGGAGAAGGAAAAAAGTAAGTTCGCCAAAGTTGGATTTTACGCACTCGCAGTGTGAGTTTGATTAAAGTTTTCGGGAGTAACGCGGTTATATTTAGCATTTCTAAGCAGCAAAGGCAACAAATGAATCAAAGGCGAAGACAGGAGGAGCTTTATTAATGCACATTATTTTTAAAAATCCTCCCGTAAAGACACATTATATATTGCGTAACATCTGTTCAGCCTGCGCTGTGCAGCTGTTGACAATTACCCAAACAAACACTTATACATATATATCTGCTGTTT